TGGACAGCTAGGACTTCCAGAGGTAAGTTAGTCATCTCGTGGGGCTTGTTCTGATTCTCACATGTACACACACACACATGCAGACCTCGAAATTAAACTTCTTACCTCAGTTCCTCAGCCGGCCACACTGAGCTGCCCCAGTGGACAACAATGAAGAAAATTGTGAAGTTAGTTCATTCAGTGTCCTTCATTAAAATGCACATTTTTAAGTGGTAAAAATATTTACATTTTCTTTTAATCAGGGATATAATTTGGTGATTAAAACAGCAAGTTTATGAGGTATGAACTCAAATCCAGTAAAAATTCATAAGCAAATTAGGGAAAATTAAATCTGAAGTCATGAAAGGTGGTGACAGACTTAGCATTTCTGAGATACTGCTCTGAGAGGGAAAGAATGTAAACCAAGATGGAGCAGTATCACAAGATCATAAAACATACCAGAGGTTTCTTTCAAGTTTGGATTTTATCACCGTGGTGATAGAAATGAGTATCAGCTTTGGTATCGCTTATGTGTGGGAACCCCAGGCACGGTAATGAAACCTTCACTCTTGAAAGTTCCTTTAAAAGCCAGTCAGTGAATAGTGCTAGCAAAGAAAGATATTTCTCAAAGCTACCTTTGAAATTAATTTTGGAAACCCTTGGAAAGAGAGGCTCAAGTAGTGGGAGAAATTTTTATCATGCTCCAAATGAAGGTATGGTTGAATATGTCTTCATCAAAAAGAATTGGGTTAACCAAGAAAGACATGACCTAGGATGGTCTTATATAACGAGGGTATCTTTCTTTGGGGTATATAGCTAGGAGTAGAATATTTAGGTAAAATGGTAGCTGTGTATATAAGATTGTGAGAAACTCAAATTGCTTTCTAAAGTGGTTGTACCATTTTACATTCCCACCAGCAGTGTATGGGGGGTTCTGATTTCTCTCTCTCCTTGTCAACACTTGTTACTACAGTCTGTGGGGTTTTGTTTGTTTTATTCTAGCCATCTAGTGGTGAAGTGGCACCTCGCTGGGGCTTTTATTTGCATTTCCCTGATGACTAATGGTGTCAAACATCTTTTCAGATGCTTATTGGCCGTTTGTATATATTCTTTGGAGAGATGTCTATTCACATTCTTTGCCTATCTTTTAATCGAGGCAGATCTTTGATCTTGATATGGCTGTCATGTTGTAGGCAGTTAAGGTGTTTTCATTTATTGAACGGACTAAACAGAAGAATGGCTGCATCAGTATGTAAGATCTTACAGTCATAATGCCTATGATGAGAGAGTTAGGTAAGAATGTTGGTGAGAGCAGAGACTGTGCCTGTTATATGACCAGCGCCTACAAGACTCTCCAACCGCCTGGCGTGGTGTAGGTGTTCAGTCACTGCTTTTTGGGTGAATGAATGTTTGGTTGTAACATGTTTTTCTATAAAAACAAAGAACTGAAGAAATTAACAATAAGGTACATGATGATTTTAATGAGCATGATATCAGCTGGAAACTATCTGCAAACATGTGAACAGATGGGGTCATTTCCATGACTTGTGAAACAAGGGCTCAGGGCCCTTGTGCTCACTGGATTCACCACCAGCTGCTCTCGGGTTCATTTATAACATATGGCCTGTGGTTCATTCATCTCTCTTTTTTTTCCTCAGTGTTTCTCTTTAACAGTAATGTGAATACTCTTTTTAATTTTTTTTAATTTTTTTAAGATTTTATTTATTTATTCGAGAGAGAGAGACCATGAGTGGAGGGAGGGGCAGAGGGAGAGGGAGAAGCAGACTCCCCACTGAGCAGGGAGCCCGACCCGAGGGGGCTCCATCCCAGGACCCTGAGGTCATGACCTGAGCTGAAGGCAGATGCTTAACCAACTGAGCCACTCAGGTGCCCCTATTTTTTATTTTTTTAAAGGGAAGCATATTATACAAATACATACTGGCTTAGAAGAAAGTTGCTACCTAAATTGCTCTTCATCCTTCTAGGAAAAAAATATTAAAGAGTAGGAAGTCTTGACACAGTAAAAACAGCCCAAAGCTAGATAACACGAATGGATTGACCATTCAACTTAATAAAGAATGTCTCCAGCAGTGGTTTGTTTCACAGATCTTTTTCAAGCTTAGACCCTTAATCAAAACCTGTGAAAGTTTTTATTGAAAATATAAGATTATTACAATGCAAACAAAATTTGAGAGTTGGATGAAGAGGTAATGAGTCTTACCTGTCTTTTGAGATTCTTAGCTATAATGATTAAATCCTTAGTGATTAAGAGGGATTCTGTGATGAGCTTTAGTGATTTAAGAAAACTGACTTTTTAAATAATCATTACACACTACAATTGTTTTATAAAATTCTTCCTACTCAGATAAAATGGCCAGTGGTTCAGAAGCCCTTTCCTCACCATGTGGCACAAGAGAAAACCTCAGAGCAAGATAAAATTATGAAATATCCCCCAGCAGCAACCTAAAATATTGCCACATCACAAATTTGGGACACCTCTCCTCAAGTTTAAAAAAAGTTGTTGCAAGTATTGTGACATTTTAATAAAGAGGAATATTGCCTGAATGCTAAACTTGTTATTCAAATTGATAAATTTATTTTTTTTAATATGTTAGTCACCATACAATACATCATTAGTTTTTGATGTAGTGATCCACGATCCATTGTTTTCGATTAACACCCAGTGCTCCATGTAGTACGTGCCCTCCTTAATACCCATCACCGGGCTAACCAATCCCCCATCCCCCCTCCCCTCTAAAACCCTGTTTGTTTCTCAGAGTCCATAGTCTCTCATGGTTCATCTCTCCCTCCAATTCCCCCCGCCCATTTTTCCCTTCCTTCTCCTAATGTCCTCCATGTTAGTGAAATAACATTTTGCCTGTAAGTCAGTGAGATAAATAGTATTTTTTTAAATACTGTATTTACAGTAAAAATAATATGGCCTTTGGATAACATTCTGTCATCATTAGGATACCTCTATAACTAAAATACTTTATACATGGACTATGGGAGAATGCAGAAGTTTTATATTTAATATAAAATAGGAGACTGAGAAGATACTCTTTTCAGGCTCACTCCTAGGCTTTTTACATCTATTTTTCCTCCTGTGCAATTCAGAACTCTTTGATGGAAGAGTTTGAAAAATTTCAGTATTTGTCATTTGTCTGTTGCGTGAATTCAAAAACCCCTCTACGGAATCCTCATAGCAGGTTCCTAGCAGAAAAACAAGACCACAAAGTAGACTGGAAATTCTTTTAATAGAATTAACAGAGTGACTGTTGACAGAAAGAATGTTCCAAGGGCAGCATAAAGGAACCCAGGAGAAGAGTCCAGGCAATGCGGGCTTTACAACATCAGGAAGCCATTACCCCCGCTAGGCCCGAAGGTGCGACTTAGTCCTGTGAGTGGAGCTGTGGGAAGGGGACCATCCCAAACCTGGAGTATGGTCATGGCAGGACGGAGCCCCCACCAGACCACGGCCCTGAGGCAGGGAAAATCTGCCTTGAACCCCGTCGCCTTACTGCCGTCTTGCTCCTGCTTCCGTTGGCCAAAGCCCTCCAGAACGCAGAGGGCAACAGAGCCTGGGGGATGAGGTCCTTGCAAATTAGACCCCAGTATCTGAGGCAGAACAAAAATCAGGCCCTCCCCCCAGGGCGAGGCTGCGTTCATTCAGAGCTGCTTGCAGTTACAGAAACCACCTCCATCTAGCTGAAGCCAAACAGACCGTGTCAGAAGGCAGCAGGCATCATGGTGACTGTGGTAAAAAGGCAGCCAGGCTTCAAGGAACATGGGACCTGGAAGCCCATAGAATCCAGAACCTGCTCCCTTCGAATGACTCTTCAACTTGAATATTGGTTGAATCGTCCCTGGGGAAACCAGGAATGTCTTTCTCTGCTGTGTGGTTTACCAGGAAGAGAAGGATGACGTCAACATGAGCCTAAAGGTTCCACTGCTCCCTTCTCTTCGTTCCAGTCCCAAGCCCCAGGAAAGCTCACTCTGATTGGAGTATTTTTTTTTTTTTTAAACATTTTATTTATTTATTTGAGAGGGAGAGACTGAGAGAGAGAGCACATGAGAGGGGGGAGGGTCAGGAGGGTCAGAGGGAGAAGCAGACTCCCTGCAGAGCAGGGAGCCCGACGCGGGACTCGATCCAGGGACTCCAGGATCATGACCTGAGCCGAAGGCAGTCGCTTAACCGACTGAGCCACCCAGGCGCCCTGATTGGAGTATTTTTGAAGTGCCCGCTCTGGTCCCTGTGACCCAGGGAATCGGGATATGGGACAGAAGCATGGTTGTTGAGATCCTATCCCCATGCATTCCACACAGGAAGCTGCTTAAATTTTGCTTGTGAGCCAGTACTAAAAATACTGAAATAGTAATTTAAAGTGTATGTGTACTTTTAATATGTATATAAATTTTAAATATTTATGCACTTAATACACACAGGTAGATATATGCAAATACATACTCATCCTTTCAGAATAGCAATATTTTAGGGACTTCTAGGGTGGCTCAGTTGTTAAGCGTCTGCCTTCGGCTCAGGTCATGATCCCAGGTGCTGGGATCGAGTTCCACATCAGGCTCCTTTGCTCAGCAAAAGGTCTGCTTCTCCCTCTGCCGGCCGCTCCCCCCTGCTTGTGCGTGCTCTCTGTCTCTCTCACAAAAAAATAAATAAAATCTTTAAAAAAAAAAAATGTCTAATAGAAGGTTAATCACAGAAGTATAATAGAAGCTAATGTTTGTTGTTATACGACCTTCATATGAAGTACTGCATTTTCTTGTTATCGTGACGTTATGAGATGAATACTATTATCACCATTTTGCATGTAAACAATCCTGTAGAAGTTCAGTGGATAATTCCTTTTTCTTCTGTACTTGAGGGAGACAGAGTAGCTGAAAAATCCTGAATTACCTGGTCTTACAGCCTAGGTACATTATCAGAATAGAGGAAATGGAATACCACCTAAATATTAGTTATGGTTCACGGGAATCTTCTGAATGTTTGTTTTGTGCCCTTTTAGATACATCAGGATTGGAGACAAAGAATGTGAATTTAACAAGAACTTTCGCCTTATCCTTCACACAAAACTGGCAAATCCTCACTATAAACCAGAATTGCAAGCTCAAACAACCCTCCTCAATTTCACAGTCACAGAAGATGGTCTAGAAGCCCAGCTCCTGGCAGAGGTGGTCAGTATTGAAAGACCAGATCTGGAGAAACTTAAGGTAAAAATTACAAAATCATCAACACTTACTCAGTATCTGCTTTGCCCAAGTTAGAGTGCTTAGACCTAGGAGTCTAAGATAGGATTCTTGCCCACCAGGGGTTTACAGTCTCATTGAGAAAAATGAGGATGTATTTGAACAGTTAACAATTCAAGGGAACTCCTATTAAAGCAGGTAGTTAGCATTGTGCCCCCAGTAGGAGATGGGCTCGCTCTAGGTGTGTTTTGATGCAGGTGACAAGGACAAGCAAGGAGACATAGGAGTCATGGACAACAAAAGGAGAGAAGCAGGAACATGCCCTGGTAGGTTCAGTGATAATAATCCAAGTCAGCCAGGGCAAAAGAACAAAAAAGAGGCGTAATGGAATAAGGCTGGAAAAATTCAGGGGCTCATAGCTGATGATCACTAGCATTTAAAAGAAAATGTATGGCTTTAAGTACAGTGATTAAGAAAAATTAATAAAAATAATTAAAAGGAAGATTGAATTAAAACACACACACACACAGACCCCAAAACAACAGAGGAAGCCTGAAAATGTAGAAGGAAGTCAATGGCAGAGGTGAGTTGTTGCAGCAGAGATTATATGGCCTACAAAACCAAAAATACCTTCTCGCCTTTTATAGAAAGTGTTCGCCATTCCCGATATAAATTAGCGGCTCTCACATGGTGGTTCCTAGAACATCAGTATCAGCTGGGAACCTTAAATGCAAAATCTCGGGCCACAGACCAGACCTGCTAAAAGTGACCTTCTGGGGGCAGGATCAGCAGTTTGTGTTACCAGGCCCTACGAGGGACTCTCACGCATGTTCAGAGTCCATTGGAAGCGGCTTTCAGTTGGATTTACTTCTGCACCAGTCCACAAACAGGGCAGAGACAGCCCTGGGACGGAGGCTGAGTGGGTGGGCACAGTTCCCTCCGGTCTCCTCGCGGGCATGCTCCCATGCGGTGAAATCGCAACCTGCCGGCGATGAATGATCCAAGGCCAGGGTTTCGAGGACCCCAGGCTGCTTGGTGCATCACTGCGAAGTTGGACAGGGAACATGTCCAATTCGAAACACCGTATGACCATATAAGAAAATCGTCTTGTCGTGGTAATTTATGTATACATGTTTTCCTTTTTTCCAAAAGCCTTGACAGTTCGGTTAATTTCTTTATTTGCTTTTATTTTTGATAGTGAAATTTTTCAAACATAGGAACAAAAAAAAAACAGTTCTAAGTTTCATCATCATTTAGCTTCAGTAATTAGCAACATTTTGCCTCTCTCCCCTGTTTTTTTTTTTTTATCAGAAGCAAGATTTTAAAATAAATGTTAACTTACTCTGGAATAATTTTAGATTTACAGAAAAGTTGCAAGATACTACAGAGTTCCTCTACATCACTAGCCCAACTTCACTTTCTCCTAATGTTATCCTTCCTTTTTGCAATATAAAAATAAAATTTATTTAATATAAAATTTATTTAAAATACTGTTCAGCTTCAGTAAAACCTATCTGTTCATTGTCGTTCATTAAGACATAGTAATATTTCTCCCTGTTTTTTATAAGTTTGGGATATCATTCACATACCCTTTTTAATTGTATAATTCAGTGGTTTTTTAGGTCATTCACAGAGTATCAATTTTACAACATTTTCAGCACCTCAAAAAGAAAATCCATGCTTATTGGCTGTTGCTCCCCAGCATCCCCACCCACCTAGCTCCTAGCAGTCATTAATCTACTTTCTATCCCTATAGATTTGCCTATTCTGGACATATCATATAAATGAAATCTTAAAATATCTGGCCTTTGTACCTGGCTTCTCTCACTTAGCATAATGTTTTTCAGGTGCATCCGTATTATAGCATCTATCAATTCTTTATTTTTTTATGGCTGAACAATATTCTTTTGTAGATATTATATACCATATTTTATTTATGCCCTCATCATTTGAAGGACATTCAGGTTGTTCCCACTTTTGGGCAGTGATGTTCAGTGCTTCTGTGAATGGTCACTGTAAGTTGTGTGGACATATATTTTTCACTTCTCTTCGGTATGTACCTAGGAGCAGAATTGCTGGGTCATATAGTAACTCTGTTTAATATTTGAGGAACTGCCAGACTGTTTTCAAGGTGACTGCACCATTTTACATTTCTACCAACTATGTAGAAAGGACCCGATTTCTTCACATCTTCACCAATACTTGTCTCTCCTCTTGGTAATAGCCATAGTAGTGGGTATGAAGCAGTATCTCACTATGGTTTTGACTTTCTTTTCCCTATGGACTAATGAGGTTAAGCATCTTTGCATATATTTATTGGCCTTTTATATGTCATCTCTAGAGAAACATCTCTTCAAATCCTTTGCCCATTTTAAAAATTGGGTTATTTTTATTGTGTCATAGGAGTTCTTTATATATTTTGAGTATTATACTCTTATTGGACATATTTTCTCCCATTCTGTGGTTTGTCTTCACTTTCTTGATGGTGTATTCTGATGTACAGAAGTTTTTAATTACAATGAAATCCAGTCTTTTTTTCTTTGTTGCTTGTGCTTTTGATGTCCTATCTAAGAGACCGTTGCCTCACACAAATTCATAAAGACTTACTCCTATGTTTTCTTCTAGTTTTATAGTTTTAGTTATTACATTTAGGTCTATGATCCATTTTGAGTTAATTTTTGTATATAGTGTAAGGTAGGGATCCAGCTTCATTCTTTTGCATGTGGATACCCAGTTGTCCAGCACCATTTGTTGAAAAGACTGTCCTTTCTCCATTGACTTTGCTACTTGTCAAAGATCAATTGACGATATTTCTGTGGATCTATTGTCTACTTTGTGAAAACCATACCTTCCTTATTAGTGGTAGCTGTATAGCAAGCCTATAAGTTGGGTATTGCCAACCTTTCAACTTCCTCCTCTGTACACTGACTATTGGCTCTTCTGGATCTTAAGCCTTGCCATGTATCAGGTTGTCAATATTTGCAAAATAATGTGCTGGAATTTTGATTGATATTACGGTGAATCACAGAAAGGAAGACATGATACCTTAACAATGTTGAGTTTTCCTATCATGAATATGGATTCTCTCTACATTTTAAGATCTTTGATTTCTTTTTACAGAATAGGGTAGAATTCTTCATATATATCTTCAATATAATTTCTTAGATTTATACCTAAGCATTTCAGTTTTTTGGTACTAATGCAAATGGGTTGCGTTATAAATTTCAAATTCCATTTGTTCATTGCTAGTGTATAGAAAAGCAACTGACTGTTGTATATTAACCTTGTATCTTGCAGCTTTGTTATAATCTCTTATTAGGAGTCCTTTTGTTGATGCTTGAGGAATTTCTACAAAGACAACCATGCCATATGTGAACAAAGACTGTTTTTATTTCTGCTTTCCCATTCTCTATACTTTTTATTTATTTTTCTTGTCTTGCAGCATTCATTAAGACTTTCAGTACAACGTTGAATAGAAGTGGTGAAAGGAAATATTAGTGTCGTGTTTCCAGTTTTGGGGGGAAAGCATATAGTTTCTGACCATTAAGTGGGTTATTAGCTAGAGGTTTCATTTTTCGATGTTCTTTATCAAGTTGAAGTCCTATATTTCTAGTTTGCTGAGAGCTTTTATCGTAAATGAATGTTGGATGTTTCAAATGTTTTTTCTTCATCTATTGGTATATCATATGCTTTTTCTTTAGCCTTTTGATGAGATGAATTACATCTCAATGCTGAATCAGACTTGCACACTTGGAATAAATCCTACATAGTATGTTATATAATTCCTTTCACACACGTGCTGATTTGATTTGCTCATATTTTGAGGATTTTTATATCTATGCTCATGAAAAATAGTGGTATATAGTTTTGGGGTTTTTCTGTAATGGCTTTATCTGGTTTTGATATTAGGCTAAAGCTGGCCTCATAAAATTGGTTAGGAAGTAATCCCTTTGCTTCTATTTTCTGGAAGAAATTGTAAAGAATTGATAGCATTTCTTCTTTAAATCTTCAGTAAACTCATCAGAAAAGTCATCTGGGCCAGGTGCTTTCTTTTTTGGAAGATTATTGTCAATTCAATTTTTTAATTAGACATAGGTCTATTCAGATTATATAGTTTTCCTTATATAAGTTTTTGGTAGATGTGTCTTTCAAGGAATTGGTCTACTGCATCTAAATTATCAAATTTATGGGCATACCATTGTTTATCATAGTCTTTTATTGTCCTTTAACCCGTAGACTCAATAGTGATGGCCCTTCTTTAATTACTAACATTGTAATTTTTGCTTTCTCCCTTTTTTTTTTTCCTTGATTGGCCTGGCTACAGGGTTAAAATTGTATTGATTTTTATATGAAAAAACAATGGTTGATGATTTTTTCCCCATTGGTTTCCTGTTTTATATTTTATTGATTTCTGCTCTAATTTTTATTATTTCCATTTCCTTGCTTTTTGTTGCTCTTCTTTCACTAGTTTCTTAGGGTAAAAACTTAGATAATTAAGTTTAGAATCTTCCTCCTTTTCTAATATATGTGTTCAGTGCTGTAAATTTTCCTCCAACCACTGCTTTTGCTACATCTCACACATTTCGTTAAGTTGTATTTTCATCTTTCTTTATTTCAGTGTATTTTTCATTTCTCTTGAGATTTCTTCTTTCACCTATATGTTACTTAGAAGTGTGTTGTTTAACCTCCAAATATTTTGGGATTTTTCCAGCTGTCTTTCCATTAGTGATTCCTTCTTTAATTTCATTGTGGTTTGAGAGCATACTTTGTATTTCTGGGGTTTTTTAAACTTTTTTATATGTGTTTTCTGGCCCACAGTTTGGTTTATCTTTGAATATCCTATCTGAGCCTGAAAAAAATGCATACTCTGCTATTAGTTGAGAAGGTGTGCCGTAAATGTCAGTTACGTCCAGTGTTAGTCGTGTTTGGTTCAACTTTATCGTTCCTGAATCTCTGCCCACTAGATGCATTAACTATACGTATCGAGGAGTTTTGAATTTTCCAGCACTGTGGCTTTGTCTGCTTCTTGCAGTTTTATCAGTCTCTGCCTCATGTATTTTGACACTCTGTTGTCAGACGTGCTCATTATGGATTCTTACATTTTCTTTGAGAATTGACCCCTTTATCATTATGTAATTCCCCTTTTTGCTTTTGATAATTTTCCTTGTTTTCATGTCTGTTTTGGCTGAAATAATATAGTTGCTTCAGCTTTCTTTTGTTTGGTGTTACATGGTATATCTTTTTCCATCCCTTTGCCTTTGAGCAAAGTAGATTTCTTGTACACAATAGACAGTTGGGTCTTGTGTTTTTGTTGTTTTTTGGTTTTGGTTTTGTATCCACTGTGTCAGTGTCTGTCTTTGATGTATTTAGAAAATTCACAAAGAGATTTTTGTTGATTCAGTTGGATTAAAATCTACCGTATTTTTCTTTTTTTATTTACCGCACTCTTCCTTACCCTTTTTTTTCTTTTCTTTCTTTCTGCTTTCTCTGATTTTAATTGAGCATTTTATAGGCTTCTATTGCCTGTCCTATCTCAGCATATAAGTTATACTTCTTTTTAAAAACATATAGTGGGGTTTTTTGTCTTTGGTTTTTTTTTTTTTTTTTTTTTCTGATCTTTACCATGAGAACCTGGTAAGTCTCCTGGAGGTGAATTCACAAAAGTATGAAGGGCTTCCTAAGACTGGATCCCCAGAGGTTTTTAACCCTCAAGCTCTGCCTCCAGCAATTAGCCAGTGACTGTTGTGAATTTGCCAGTAGCTGTGATGGTCTGTATTCACCCACCTCTCTGATTTTGAGGGTAGTAGTTGGCCCTATGACCTCAGTTCTTTGACGGATGTAAGAAGAGTTGAGGATTCGCTTTTTCCTGTTGTAAGGATGGAAATGATGACTTCCAACTCTTTAGATATGAAGCAGAAACCAGAAGTTTCTTCCTATAGAGTAGATTCTTCCTGTAGGTCCCCAATGTTAAATGATTATGACAAATATTCATTCTCTGGACCCTGGAGTGCAACCAGTTCTTAACATATTTTCTGACTTGTTTTAAAATAAATTTTTAAAGATGATGATTAGTATGTTTTTAATTTTAAGTGTGATACGATTCCATGAAATCAATGATTAAAGAAACTGCTTTCAAACATGAATTGTATCACCATTTCTCACACTTTTCCTGGTTTGTGTTAGTTGGTTTTGACAAAGCACCAAAATGACTTTAAGATCGAGCTGAAGTATCTGGAGGATGACCTCCTCCTGTGCCTTTCTGCGGCAGAGGGGAGCTTTCTAGATGACACCGAGCTGGTGGAGAGACTAGAGATGACAAAAGCAACCGTGGCAGAGATAGAACACAAGGTAAGAAGGCGCCAAGGACACCCAGAGGGTCACAGTGCTCCTTTTGAATCAAGTGGTTGGCGTAAACATGTGATCAAACTTGACAGCATCTCTAAGAGGACTGACTTGTGGCGGATTTCAGGTCATTTAATAAACTACCCTTAAAATGTGCAGGGCTGTGCATGGAGACGGAGGTGGTTGAACTTGTGTTTGTCCTAATTCAGCAGAGATCCAGTCATTCACATGAGACTCTGTCAGGCTATTATTTTTTCTGAGTGGCCAAATCGGAAGAAAATTGGAGCCTGCTGGCTTATATGGTCTAAAATCTAAAAAGGCTTAGCGTCCAGCTCTGGCAGACTGACACCCTACAGTCCCACCACAGGCTTCCCAGTCTGTTGTGCCTTTCAGGGAAATATTTAGAGCTGATGTTTTGTTTACAGGCCTTCAGTGGTCAGAGACTGAGCAAGGGGGACAGTCTCTTGCTGTACTCAGATGCATTATTCACCCTGGGAAACAATGACCTTTCCTGAATGCCAGTAAAAATTTTTATTGATTAGATTTCCTGCTGAATGTCCAGCCTATGTCCCAATATGCCTTACGCATGATGTGCACTTTGGACTCACACAATGGCCATGAACTTTAAAATTCCATTGTTTCGGAATGAGAGGAACCTTATTTCCCTTCTGGAATATCCTCATTACTAAGTAATCTATTAATTACCCAGTTGAGGCTGTGTCACCACACATCCTATATGTTTGTCTTAATTTAAGCTAAGAAATGGAATCCCAAATTACTCTGTCCTTTTAAGTGAATTCTAGGTAGCTCCTAAGATGGTAAAGATTGAGGCAATTAAGTAAATTAGGTCTTAGCTTTGAAGTTAGCTTCTAATTGTCTCTTAAAATGTCTCTTCCCATCTTCTTAGTATATTGCTATGTAGGGATTCCCCCCTCTGCTCTATGTTTTTTGGGTTTTTTTTTTTAAGATTTTATTTATTTATTTGAGAGAGAGAATGAGAGAGAGAGAGCATGAGAGGGGGGAGGGTCAGAGGGAGAAGCAGACTCCCTGCCGAGCAGGGAGCCCGATGTGGGACTCGATCCCAGGACTCCAGGATCATGACCTGAGCCGAAGGCAGTCGCTTAACCAACTGAGCCACCCAGGCGCCCTCTGCTCTGTTTTATTTCCTTTTATACACCAGTATGAAGAATCAACTTTATTAAAAAAAAAAAAAAAAACTTTCTTAAAAAGCTGTAGGACCAGCAATAGTCCTAAATTTAAAAAAAAAAAAGATATCTGAACCTTGAGTAAAAATGAATATGTTGGTTGATGGGTGGTGGTGGTATTATTGTTGTTTTAATTATCTCTCTGAATGTAACCAGGGGCTAATGCAGAAACTAAATGGAAAAATGTGAGCATATGGATCATCTGGTATAAAGTCAGACAGTCATGAGAGTCTTCATATAAAGGCTTTTTAGTAAGCCTGGCTGTTGGATATATTATTGCCCTTGGCTGCTTTTGTATACCTTGTTGACCAATAAAGTTATCGGCACTGAATTGACCCAGCAGACTTTTGAGAGCTTCCCTGGGAGGTGATAGAGCTGGGTTTTTTTTTTTTTTTTTTAAAGATTTTATTTATTTATTCATGAGAGACAGAGAGAGAGAGAGAGGCAGAGGGAGAAGCAGGCTCCCCGTGGAGCAGGGAGCCCGATGCGGGGCTCGATCCCAGGACCCTGGGATCATGACCTGAGCTGAAGGCAGTCGCTTAACCAACTGAGCCACTCAGGCGCCCTAGCTGGGTTATTAAACCTGAAAAAGAGAGAGGAGGCAGGGGAAGGTGACATTACTCAGAACAAATTCTGTAAAACCAAAACCAATCAGGTTTGCTTAATCTGTAACTGTAAAACAGCTAGGATTATGTCCATTCTTGCTGAGAACTCAATTTATGAAAAAAAATGGTTTAAAATATGAATCTAATCATTTTAGAAAAATTGAAGCACATAGATGCCATACATGTTCTCTATTTAATGCAAATAATTTTTCATTTCAGATACATCCCTTCCATCAACTGGGTAAGTATAAAGAATATGAAGAGTAAGTTATGAGTTACTTACATTGTTTGATCTCACCATAGGTGACTGAAGCTAAAGAAAATGAAAGAAAAATCAATGAGGCCCGGGAATGTTACAGACCAGTGGCAGCAAGAGCATCTCTTCTTTATTTTGTTATTAATGATCTCAGAAAAATTAACCCCATCTATCAGTTCTCTTTGAAGGTAATGCTGAATAGGCTAAGAAAAATTTTTAATTTCATGAGTTCGACCTGTTTCTGGAAGTTTAGAATTTATTTTTAAGCAATCAGTATATCCAGTAAGGAATCCTGAGGATCTAGTGAGGGGGGAAAAAGAAATCCTCATTTTCTCAGGAACTTTTATTTATGATTTTCATTTTCAAATAATTAAATTATGTGGCATCATAATACATTTGTTTTTGTTCTTAAACCGAGTCTTGAGTTTGTTATATATAAGGGAACTCCCCTTGTGATTCCTTTACTCTGTGAAAATGTAGGTGTTTTATATAAAGATTTCTCATATTTTGGTAGAACAGGAGAAAGATTGAGAACAACTATTCATTAAGTCACTCTATTACATACTGGACATTTTCATACTTTGGTTCATTCTTATGCATGAAACATCTCAATATATTATTGTATCCCTATTTAAAAAAAAGAAAAGGAAGCTAACATTTTCAGATTTTAAATAAATTGCCCAAGAATTCACATTATAATGGTAAAAGGCAGGATTTGAACTCATGGTTGTGATCCCAAAAGCCATGCTCTTTACTTTGCATCATTGTGCCTCTGGGCAGTATTCATTCATTCTGTCACTCAGTTTTTAAACAAATAGCTGTTGAGATCAATCATCATGCCAGATGTTGTGCTGAGTGTACAATTCCGGAAAAAAAAAAAAGATATGAATGGAGATACATAGGGGTGTGTGTGTGTGTGTGTGTGTGTGTAAAAGTGATTAAGTACAATGAGAGAGAATAATAAGGATGGGAGGGACTGTTTCACTCTTAGCTCAGAGAAGGCCTCTCAGAGGAAGTGACATTATAGTTGATTCCTGTAGAGTTTAGCCACCTATGGAGTGTTTGGAGAAAACAAGGATGTGTGGGACATGAAAGAGTTTGGGATTCCAGATGATAAATGAATCTATGTGGCTGGAGGGTAATTAATGAGTGAGGGAGAAGATGACAAGACAGGAGTCTAGAGAGGTGGGAAAATGTAGATCATGGGAGACCTTGTTGCCAGGTGGGGGATTTTGGATTATATTTTGTCTGCAAAAAGGAGCCGTTGAATGGTTTGAAGCAGATGACTGATGACAAAAGACTCAAAAGTGAATAGACTTGACCTATGGTTTGAAGCTAGAATAATCAGCCCTTGGAAATGGATTAGATATGGACAATAATGAAAAGAGTCAAGAATAACTAGCAGGGGGGCGCCTGGGTGGCTCAGTTGGTTAAGCGACTGCCTTCGGCTCAGGTCATGATCCTGGAGTCCCTGGATCGAGGCCTGCATCGGGCTCCCTGCTCGGCGGGGAGTCTGCTTCGCCCTCTGACCCTATCCCCTCTCATGTGTTCTTTCTCTCTCATTCTCTCTCTCAAATAAATAAATAAAATCTTTAAAAAAAAATAAAAATAAAATAAAAATAAAAAAAAGAATAACTAGCAGGTTTCTAGTAATATGGAGCTAGGTGCAGAAATTCTGAGAAGCACAGAGTGGTTGGATTTTGGAACAACCACATTGTATAAAGAGTAATAAAATTAAATCAGTAATATCAATCCAACATTACCCAAATACGAAAACCAGACTAAGACATTACAAGAGAAGAAAACCACAGAGCAGACCTCTTCATGAACACTGGTGCCAAACTTCTCAAGGAAAGATTGGCAAATTGAATCCAGCCACATATAAAAAGAACAATATATTATGTCCAAGTGGAATTTATGCCAGGAATGCAAGCTGGTTAAACATTTAAAAAATAACACAAGTCTTCATATGAATAGAACAAAAGAGAAAAACCATATGAGCACTTCATTGGATGCAGACGGAGAATCTGACAAATTTCAACACCTGGTCAAAAAAAGAAAAAAAAAACTGAGCAAACTAAGAATAGATGGTAACTTCTAAAAGTGAAAAAGGCCATCTGTAGAAATCTACAGCTAATATTATACTTAATGTTGAAAAATTGAATGCTTTCCCCTAAGATCAGAACAATGTCTTCTCGCAACACTTCTATTCAGAACTGCCCTGCAGGTTATTGCCAGTACAATAATAAAATAAAAGGCACAGACATTTAAAAAGAAGAAGAAAAAGTGTCTTTTTTTTTTCCCCCACAAATGATCTAATCATGTATGTAGAAAATCTTAAGAAATCTACCACAAACCTACTAGGACTAAGAAGTGAGTTTTTAGCAAGATGGCAGGATATAAAGTCAATATACAAAATCGATTGTTTTTATATATGAGGTATAAACAATTGGAAAATAAAACTAATAACTCAGTCTATTTATAATAGCTTCCAAAATCACTAAACTCTTAGGGATAATTTTAACAAGACAAGATCCATGTGCTAAAAGCTACAAAACATTGTTGAGCTAGACCATGGAGAGGTATACCGTGTTTATGGATTAGAACGCTCAATATTACTAAGATGCCAATTCTTTCCAAATTGATCTATAGATTCAGTTCCATCTCAAATCTCTGAAGGCTTTTTTAGTAGACATCAATGTGATTCTAAAATTTGTGTAGAAATTCAAAGGATTTAAAATAATAATTTTGAAGAAGAATAAGATATTTAGAAAACTTACAGTACATGATTTCAGCACTTATTAGAAACCTATACTAATAGGCCTAAAGAAAAATACATAGATAACAGAGTCCAGGGGTAGTCCCACAGATGTATGATCAATTGATTTTTGGCAGTGATACCAAGACAATGAAGAAGGGATAGTTTTTACAACAAATGGTGCTGAGAAAACAGGATATCCACAGAGAATATAATGAACCTTAACCGTTACATCCCACTTTATACAAAATTAACTCAAAATAAGTTAGCAAAGCTATAAAATTTCTAGGGAAAAAAATGGGAGACAATCTTTGGGCTTCAGGTTAGACAAAGATTTCTTAGGATACAATAGAAAGAAAATGATAAACTGAATCTTACCAAATTAAAAATGTATGGTCTTCAAAAGACATTAAGAAAATGAAAAGGCAAGCCACGTACTATTAAAATCTCCTTCCAATACGTGTATCTAATAATGAACTTATACCAGAATGTATAAAGAACTTGTACAACTCGGTAGGACAACTCAAACAATGAAAGATTTGAACAGACATGTCCTATGCTAAGTTATGTGTACTGCCCATGAGCACATTTTCAAATGCTCAATATTCATCAGAAAAATGCAAAGTAAAAGCAGAATGAAGTAGTATTATAGACCAAAAGAATAGCCACACTTGTACAAGAGCGGCGGTAACAAGCGTTAACACAGGTTCCGTACCGCAACTCTTTCATGTTGCTGATGAGAACTCGAGGTGGTAAAACCATTTTGGAAAACAGTTCGGCAGTTTTGTATAAAGTTCAACATAAACGTGTACAACGGGATTCCACGTGTTTACTTTGTGTCTGGGGCTAGCTAGACATCAGGCATTGGTTTCCAGCCTTTACCAGTCACTTTAAATTCCCCAGGCTTTCAACATGCTGTTCCTCAGAGCAATTGAGCAGGCTGACAAGGTGGAGGACGTGCAGGGGCGCGTCTCAATCCTCATGGAGAACATCACCTATGCTGTCTTCCTCTCTACCAGCCAGGCGCTGTTTGAGAGGGACAAGCTCACCTTCCTGTCCCAGATGGCTTTTCAGGTAAGGAAATCCGTCACTTGAAAGCATCCCCAGAGCCCCATACCTCTGTTTATTATATGCTTTACTTCCACTGAAGGGAGACATGCCACCTTTCTTGGAAGCCCTTGGTAGCCTGAGTTAAGTTTGAATTTCCCAGGGGAAACTGGGACACATGACAGCCTTTGAGTAGGTCCTGAGGTGTTGGTTTGGGTGGGTATGCACTTTAGCTGACCACATTAGCTGTCACCCTGAAAAGCAGATCAGTGAGACCTCCTCCTCACTACTTAGGTCCTGTGCAGAGCCTCCCAGGTACTACCAGGGAGATTCTTTAAGATCGGAATTATGAGTCCAGATCTAGATGGTCCTAGGAGTCTCTCTGTCCCTTTAAAAACCAGTGACTGGGGGCGCCTGGGTGGCTCAGTTGGTTAAGCGACTGCCCTCGGCTCAGGTCATGATCCTGGAGTCCCTGGATCGAGTCCCGCATCGGGCTCCCTGCTCAGCAAGGAACCTGGTTCTCCCTCTGACCCTCCCCCTTCTCATGTGTTCTCTCTCTCTCTCGTTCTCTCTGTCTCAAATAAATAAATAAAATAAAATAAAATAACAAAAAACAAAAAACAGTGACTGCGTAAAAGAGCTCCAGGTTTCACGCTGCCATCTTTAGTGAGATCTATCCTTTTATTCTTTTTTCTTTTTTTTAATATGGATTGCAGCAAAAGATTTTAAGATTTTATTTATTTATTTGAGAGAGAGTGAGAGCTGGGGGAGGGGGAGAAGGAGAGGGAGAGAGAATCCCAAGCAGACTCCCCCCACTGAGCAGGAAGCCCAACGCAGGGCTCAATCTCACAGCCCCCATCATCCCCTGAATCAAAATTAAGAGTCAGATGTTTAACCGACTGAGCCACCCAGGTGCCCCAGCAAAAGATTGTTTTTAAATAAAGATGCCCGTGATAAGAAGAAAACATTGAGGACTGAATGCCTAGATGAAATAAGCATGTTGTCCTTTCATTAGTTTGCTGTATAACTTTTTCTATCAACCCAAATCTAGATGGAAGGTCAATGCCTGGTGTGTGTTGTACCCTCCAAAGTGCCTCACCCAAAGAAGGCATTTTATAAATACCTGCTGTTAACAATGCAAACTATTACTTTCAATACTTTCGGTGTTTATAGATTCCTTTGGGTTATGTAAGAATATATAGGTGTAGGTGCTTCATAATGTATGTGAGAAATCGGAGCAAGGCACTACAAAATGAAATTGTTTTTACACGTAGTATTCATTAACAGTAAAAAGCCAGGACTGAGACTATATGACATGCACACACATGTATGCACATCATCTATTTAAAACAGTCTCCTTGGGGCACCTGAGTGACACAGTCTGTTAGGCATCCAACTCTAGATTTCAGCTCAGGTCATTATCTCAGTGCCCTGAGATCAAGTCCCAAGTGGGACTCTGTGCTCAGCAGGAGTGGGACTCTGCTTGAGATTCTCTCTCTCTCTTCGCCTCCCCCAGCTCCTCCCTCCCCCAACCACTCCCCCACCACTCACACTCTCTGTCTTAAAAAAAAAAAAAAAATTTCTCCTTGAAAGCCAGAGATAAATTATAGCTCATCTCAAATCCTGACAATTTCTGTAAATCAAAGCTTTGTATATACATGGCAATTATTTGTTGAAATGAATTAAGAAAATCAATAGAATAAAATATCCTTTTAATGTGTTACTACCTATAATACACTTTGAAAATACCTAGAGTTTTAAAATAGCATAAAACTCAAACATTTTACCTGTTTATATGGTATTATAATTTTTATGTGAAAGTTAGGAATATTTCATCCTCCCTTACCCCCTAAGATGTTCTATGGACTTAACCAGTTTTTTTTAATGCAGATATCTAAAGTTTATTTCCATTTATACTGTTTGTTTAGTTGTATCTATAAAACAATAATTTCCTATTTTTCTTAATATAATCTCACATTTAAGAACATTCTTTCAGGACACCTGCGTAGCTCAGTCAGTTAAGCATCCAACTCTTGATTTGAGCTCAGGTCATGATCTCAGGGTTGTGAGATCAAGCCCGAGCCCCTCATCAGGCTCCACGTGGAGCCTGCTTAAGATTCTCTCTCTCTGCCTCTCTTTCTGCCCCTTCCCCACCTCTCTTAAAAAAAATCTTTCATATATCTCATAGTTTATTAGATGTAATTTCTGTATCAAGGCTGAATTACAATACTGGTTCTATCTTTTGTTTAGTAATTTGGTCTATTACCACCTGAGGCTTTCCCAATTTGTGTAACAAGGTTTTTGTTTTTGTTTTTTTAAGATTTTATTTATTTATTTGAGAAAGAGAGAATGAGAGACAGAGCACAAGAGGGAAGAGGGTCAGAGAGCGAAGCAGACTCCCCGCCGAGCGGGGAGCCTGATGCGGGACTCGATCCCAGGACTCCAGGATCATGATCTGAGCCGAAGGCAGTCACTTAACCAACTGAGCCACCCAGGCGCCCTGTTACAAGTTTTAAGACAAGTTTGATCTAACAGCAAAAGACTAAATATGAATGTATATTTCAAATAATTTGCTAATAGGTATGTGTTAAAATTGGGGGGGGGGAGCAGTCTTCAATAATTATTTGTTCCTAGATTTTTCAGTCAAAGTTTTGAGATCATGAGCATATTACTTCAGCTTTAGAACAGATAGGTATCTATAGGAATTATCGGTAGACTTGGTCCTGCCAATTCAATCCTGTTAAATCGTGACTGCCTCCTGTGTTTTGATTTTGATGTAAACTAAATGACCCTTTTCAATTTATGTATCCTCAAGATTTTGTTGAGAAAGAAAGAGATAGACCCTCTGGAATTGGATTTCTTGCTTCGATTCACAGTTGAACACACTTACCTGAGTCCTGTTGACTTCCTCACTACTCAGTCATGGAGTACTCTCAAGGTAGGTGAAGAAGACGGTATTTCACTTTCTAAAACTTACTTCAATAGATATATTCTGCAGGACCTTTGGTAAAAGTCAAGGAACAGAAATGAGCATTGTTGTCAATTTACCTAAATCAGGTTTGCTTTCTTTTTTTAATAATATTGTCCACTTTTCCCAAATACTTTTGTTAATCATACAAAAACACAGTAGTTTATTCTCATTATAACTTGTTTAAGCAGAACAGGATGTTGTAGAGAAAAAAGTTATTCGTCAACCCCAGGTACCGATCCTTACCTCATTTTTTGGTCAGAAGATCCTACTGTTAAAAGAGTTTATTCCCCGAGACTTTGGAATTCCTTAAAGATGCTTGTTGTATGCTAACATACATATGGTATTTGCTGCATTCTTTTTCTAAGAAGGAAAATTTCTGCCCATTGAAAATAACCATGATCCCTCTTTTTAGAGTATATTTAGGCTTATTTGTAATAGAATTTTTTATTAGGTTATGTAGAATTACAAATTCAAGTCTGCTTGTTTATCACTCAGGGTCTCAGCAGAAAACAGATGGCCCATTCAAAGAGGTGATAAAAAAAAGTTTAAGAAAGAGTATATTTTCATCGTATGGGAAGAAGACTAAGAGAATCAGCCAGGAATGGGGATGGGAAAAGGAAGAAAAGGAGTAGTTCCTGAAGCTGTAGAGAAATGAAGTTAGGGGAGAGAGCCAACCTATAGGAGCTGTGACCTACCGTAGACGAACAAAGCCACTGCCAACGTACGTCACCACAGGGACGGCACCGAGGAAGGGATAACCTTGCATCTCTCTCCTCCAGCCCTCCAGTCTCTGGCCAGTGCCTCCTCTTGGCCAAACCCAACCAGGCCAGACAACCGGGGAGTTGAGTTCCAATAAGCCTCGCTGGTCACCCTCTTAGCAGGGCAGGAAAGGGTGAGAGTACATCCGGCAAGGAAACGAAGACTCTCCAGCCCAGCGTGTTCACAGAGGATTCGATACTTCCACTAGTCTCTTTCTCAGACTCTAAGCTATTTACCCCCGTCCTATCTGTGCCCCATTGTATGACAGGCAGTAGCCCTCCTGGAAGAATTTCGAGGCATAGACCGAGATGTGGAAGGATCAGCCAAGCAGTGGAGGAAATGGGTGGAATCCGAGTGCCCAGAGAAAGAGAAGTTGCCGCAAGAATGGAAGAAGAAAAGTTTGGTACAGAAGCTGATTATTTTGAGGGCAGTGCGCCCCGACAGAATGACATATGCTCTCAGGTGGGGCAGTTAGCATTTTTGGAAATACATGTTGACCTAGAGGAGACTTAGTCTTCGGGGGCGGGGAGCATCTGGTGGACGCATTTGTGGTCCCTGCTGATGAGCCACAATGCTGCTTGCAGCTTTGATGGTGTCGTCATTACTATTGTTGAAACTCGCGGAACGCTAACCAGTGCGCTGCTCTGTCGTCAGGCTGAGCCCATTCTTCCTGAAAACCTTGCTTCTGACATCAGGAGGGGAGACGGGGAACCTCTGGAAATATTCTAGCCCGAGAGATGGGTGTCAGCAGAGTTCAGAGGCTAGGAGCATGCATTATCCCGGTGCGATTTCCACGGTCTTTATTTAGCCGTAGCATTTGGGCTCCGACGATTTTGCACATCAAACAAAAATGAATTCCTTTCATGGAGACACTAATAGTCCTATAACTTTACAACCAATGCAATTTAAAGCAGGAACCCCTGTCTGTGTCTTGGTCCGTGTGTCCTTTTTCTTTGCCCTTTCGGCTTCTAAATGGTAATATGCTGCTTAATTCACGCAAGTCATGTTCTCATTTGAATTCACCAACCAAAGAGTTCTCAGGTTCCTTCCTTTTCTGCTCCTCGTTCAACAGCAGTGACACACCTCAGGTCTTTTCCTCCACTCCAACTAATTTCCCCTTTGCAGATGCCTCAGCGTGCCCTACTTTACAAGTTAATTCTGCTTAGTAGTACTCACTTTCTGCTAAATCTGATACCGCGGGAAAATAATCCCTGCTTAATTGAGCTTCCCTATATTAGAAACACCCCGAAAAGCATTTGTATATTCATGAGAAACCCAGCAGGCTGGAAAATTGCACTGTGGCAAATCTAATGAACTGTTAATAAATAATGGGGGATCTGGCAGATTTGGGGGATACAAAGCCATACGCAGGCAGCTGGTGGTACGCAGGGGGGGGTCTCAGTAGCCCCCAAAATGGAACGTAGGCTTCTGATTTTCAGAGCTTCTAAAGCAGGAAGGGATTTCACTGACACCGATGCATAAATCTAGCTGGATTCGTATTGTCCGCGAAAAGATCCCACGTAATGAACGTAGTTTGCTTCCTTCCTGTGCCTATGATTTAAGCTGATCCAAGTTGTGGCACTTTTTAAGGTCATGAGCACTGATCATGTCTTTGACATTGTCCTCTTTTATAGGAATTTCGTGGAGGAAAAACTGGGTGCCAACTATGTGGGGAGGACCAGAGTGGATTTAGTTAAAGCATTTGAAGAAAGCAGCCCGGCCACGCCCATCTTCTTCATCCTGTCTCCAGGGGTGGATGCCCTTAAAGATCTAGAGATCCTTGGTGAGGGGCCCGGAGGCTTGCCTTCCCGCCCTCCCTCTCACCCAGTGCTCACCCAACCTTGCTCTCAGTTCATAGCTAGTTACTTTCATTCTCTCTCTCTCTTTCCTTCTTTCTTTTTCATTTGTGGGAGATGGAGTATATGGAAAATGTAAGCTAATAACACAGTGGTCTGAAGAAATGTTCAAACGGAACATTCCTCTGGTTGGCATAATGCAAGTTTCTTTTGTACTGTTTTCCACCTTCTGACTATGTAAGGGCCAGAGGGCAATTTTCTCCATTCTAGTGTAATCTTGTGCCCCCTGTGACTAAATAGTGGTCATTAGAGCAAGCCCATTCGATTGTGCAAGGCACTGTCGCTTTGTGCTTTGGATTACTATTCTGCACAGCCTGCACCGAGAATGCCAGGTTAACAGAGCTGTGACCTGACTGTGCTCGATTCAAGCATGGCCACAAGGTGAGAGGCTCCTGCACTTCCCCAGTGAGCCTCTTTGTTCAAAAAATGATGTGATAGCTACCACATGTTGCTCGTTTTTATGAGGGCAATGCTTTGCTACTCCTGCAAGAGTTAATAAAGCTCAATAACAATATTTGCCATCTATCAAAATGTCAAAAGCTTCATTACCGTAAAACCAGAGGAACTTATTTGCACAGGCTCTGCTAATGCTCCTGAGGAGGCTGCTGCTGAGAGCCCAAAATGCTGCCTGTTGAAACAACAGAAGTGGAGTTTGGATTCTTCAGGAAAGTGACCTAGAAGGTGGCAGCAGTAACCACAGATGGACATGAGACACAAGATTCCAGACTCTTCTCACCTCTCCTTGATTCACCCTTCCTCTTACCATGTTGTATGCTCCCACAGGCAAAAGACTGGGGTTTACAATGGACTCGGGAAAATTCCACAACGTGTCTTTAGGACAAGGTCAGGAGGTGGTGGCAGAAAAGGCCCTGGAGAAAGCTTCCAAAGGAGGACACTGGGTCATCCTCCAAGTGAGTGTTTCATCTTCTTGGAAAAAACTGGGAACGGCTCCAAGGGATGGACGGTGCAGAGTCGTCCAGGCCAATAGGAATGATCCTTCCTCCTGACAGATGGTGATTTGCAGAGTCCCCAGTGTTCTCTCAGTCCTGGTGACCCCTCCGCAGGTGTTAAGAGACTCAGCTGACAAGGGTCGCCATCATCTTTTGAGGGATTTTCTAGCCATTGTGCTTTAAAATTAAAAATATTAGAGGGAACCCTCTTATTCTCCTGACTTACAGATAGCTGGAACATTCTAAGAGTGCTTGAAGACAAACAGGCCTGTATAGATTGCCAACGCCATTGTCATAATACCTTACATTTGCAAGTGGCTTTATTTTTTTTTTTTTAAGCTTTCCTTTATTTATTCGACAGAGAGCATGAGCAGGGGGAGCGGCAGGCAGAGGGAGAGGGAGCCTGACGCAGGGCTCGGCCCCAGGCCTGTGGCTGTCCCAGTTTCTGGAGGTTTCTATATCTCTTTGCCATTCAAAAGAGAAGCAGGACTTTGAATAAAGGGGAGACTAGCATAATGGGAACTTGTTATGTTGTTTGTAATGTACATTAAATTATATCCACGTAGGCTGACATGATATGTGTGCTCATGCTAATGAGCTCTTAACCAGACCCTACAATGGTCAGTCACTGTGATCAGGTAGAGCCCTTCAAGGGAGGTTTAGCTAGCATTTTATCAGAAGCCCATACGCCAGAGAAAACTAGTGCAGAGATAGCAGGATGGCATCTATCTTTGTCTCAGATATACACCAGATGGCTTGTGAATTGACATAATGGATTTATTAAAAATCTATTTTCATGGGCAAAATGGGTGGTTTCCAAGATACATGGATTGGCTAAAAATGTTGCACGGGCATTGCTGCCCTTGGACAAGTGGGCACAAGAATCTAGCCAATGTCAAAGCCAAGAGCCTCAAGAAGATCCTCAAGGATCAAGAACCCTCAGGCTGGACTCCAGAATGTGCCTGTGTTCAGGGATGGCTCAATTGGAGATTTTTCTGTTCCTTGACTCCAAAGTCACTGCCTAGAGTATCCTTATATTTGTTTCAAGTAAACTTCTGGAGTAAGGTCTTGTAGGCCATAAGATAGGTCATATTTGAGCTTGCAAAATAGGTTTTATTGTTGTTGTTTTTTCTGCTTGCTTGTGTGAGTGGCACAGTTAGGTGTGAGAAGTGCTTTCGCTATAATCTAGTAGCAAGCATGGAGGGCAGGAAACTCACAGCCCTTACTTGCTGTATAAGGTTGCTCGGATTGCCAATCCAAAGTATCACACATTGGGTAGCTTAGTGAACAGAAATTTAATTTCTTACAGTTCTGGAGGCCAAAAGTCTGAGATCAAGTTGTCAGTAGGGTTGGTTTCTTCTGAAGCTTCTCTCCTTGGTGTGTAGATGGTTGTCTCCTCCCTGTGTCTTCACATGGTCTCCCTTCTGTGTGTGTGTGTGTGTGTGTGTCCCCTAATCACCTCTTCTTATAAAGACATAAGCCATATTGGATTAAGACTCACTCTAATTGTTGCATTTACTCTTAATTGCCTTTTTGAAGGCCTATTCCAAATACAGTCACTTTCTGAGGTACTGAGGGTTAGGACTTCCAACATTTGAATTTGGGGGGACACAGTTCAGCTATGATACCTACCGATGTTCAGTATTTGCCAAAGGAAGAAAAAGCCTCATAATGTGAACAATTAAATTGGCATAGATCTTCTTACAACAGAACTGTTTCAAAGAAAGCTACCTGCATTACTATTCCATTCCCGATTTGCCTTTATTCTTCGGGTTTTTTGTAGCTTTTATAATATTAAATGTTTTTCTTTGCTGGAAGTAACTACATATTCCTAGGTGTGATGTCGCAATCACTACAATAAGGACGTCTCCAGAGCCAGAGAGCGTGTGAGGGCAGGGCCTTCACACTGTTCTCACCACACCAACTACCATGTGCTCCACGGGTGTTTAGGATTGGAGGGTTGGAGGACTGTGAATCATAAAACTGAAAATCAAGAAGTGATGGTGGTGACATTTGTTTCTTTCATAATTTTTGAAAGTTCTGGTTTAAGGAAATTAACCTATCAGGGATCCGCAGAGCATCTTAACAGAGTGATTTCTTTCTCGGCTAGCCGTTTACCCCTCACATCCTTTGGAGTTCACATACTAATGAGTAGGCGTTGAGTAGAGGAGGTTGGTATCAGAAACAATGAAATGGGTGATGAGGTACATTTCTGGCTTTTAGTTTTTATCCTTGATTAAACTAACCAGGTAAGTCTCCATAATTGAGTTTGAACTATAACAAAGAAGAGTGTCAGGAACTCCATGTCAGAGGTGACTGATGGGTGTTGGAAGTGGCTAAGTGTGTTGAAGGAGATTTGGGTTTGCAAAGGTAAGCTGTGGTGATTTGGAACCCTACATGTGTTCACCGTACAGTCGTGTTTTGGTGCTTTGTTTTGTTCCCTAACATGATGATACAGGAAAAATTAAATCCTGGTTCTCTGAGTTTTCTACACATTGATATATAGGAAAATATTGTGATCCCATAATTTAAGTAATCTACTTCAGTTTCACTAGAATTATAAGCCATACTGTTTTTTCAGAATGTCCATTTGGTAGCCAAGTGGCTAGGAACCTTGGAGAAACTCCTCGAAAGATTCAGCCAAGGAGGCCACAGAGATTACCGGGTTTTCATGAGTGCCGAATCTGCAGCTACACCACAAGAACACATCATCCCTCAAGGACTCCTGGAAAATTCCATTAAAATTACTAATGAACCCCCCACAGGAATGCTGGCCAATCTGCATGCTGCCCTCTACAACTTTGATCAGGTAAGAAAACAGAAGCCTGGTCTGAGGGCAAAGTCAGGGTCTTCTCACAAAACCATGGGGCCATTAGCTACTCATGCATCTCATGCAGAGGGATGAAGTGAAATCTGTCTGATTTAATCTCTTGAAAGTATCCCCCTGCCGTTCCCTATTCCAGCGACTAGAAAATCTATGTTTTGCCTTAAAACTACAGCCACATGTTCAGCGGGTTAACCATCCGACTCTTGGTTTAGGCTCAGGTCATGATCTCAGGGATGTGAGGTGGAGCCCCAAGTCAGGCTCTGCGCTGGGCGTGGAGTCAGCTTAAGATTCTCTTTCTCCCCTTCCCTCCCCCTCACTCAGACTCGCACATGTGCTCTCTCTCTTAAATAAATAAAATCTTTAAAAAAATACTGCAGCTACATTTTAGGAGAATAAATTACATTCCTTTCTGAAGAACCTGCTATTGAAGACAAACGTGGCAGACCAATATCTCTTAGCACGGGAAGAGAAGAAGCCACTGTTATTCTGGTTACTGGTACTGAGGACAGCAACAACAGTAATGACCTGGGGAGAGTTCCAGCATAATATTCAGTGTTTTAGATCTGCTTTTGATGTTAGTAAACTTAAATCATCTTCTCCCCGTATATCCATGTTGCCATCTTATTTATACTTTGATTTCCTTCCAAAATAAATAAATTAATACAAACATAAACACTCCTATTATCACTACTCTCCTTATGCATATTATCACATCTGTATCATAATCAAGTGTTTCAAACAAATTTCCTTTGTTGTTGTTTTTCTGAGTTGCCATTCCCTCTGATTTCTTAGACACCCTTGGGAAACAGTATTTTGTTTGTCTGTTTTAGAGAAAGAGAGTGCAAACGAGGGGTTGAGGGGAGCGGGAGAGGGAGAGAGAATCTTAAGCAGGCTCCATGCCTGGCACAGAGCCCCATGCAAGGCTCCACCTCACATCCCTGAGATCATGACCCCAGCCAAAATCGACAGTAGTACATTTCACCGACTGAGTCACCCAGGCACCCCAGGAAATAGTATTCTTATTAGGAGAAGTAGAATGAACCCTAAAGAGGAAATGCACATGGTTTGGTATATTAAGACTCCTGTTAGGGCACCTGGGTGGCTCAGATGGTTGGGCGTCTGCCTTCGGCTCAGGTCATGATCCCGGAGTCCTGGGATCAAGTCCCGCATCGGGCTCCCTGCTCGGCGGGGAGCCTGCTTCTCCCTCTGCCTCTCTCTCTGTCTCTTATGAATAAATAAATAAAATCTTAAAAAAAAAAAAAAAGACTCCTGTTAGAAATATTATTCTTCACTAGTATCTTCTGGGCCAATACTCAAGCCAACATTATGAAGGAATTATAATAATTGGCCACCTAAGATTACAGTTTTGAAGAATACAGTTAATTACCTAATTAAGTAATTAATTTATAGCCTATATAAACATGGTCCACTGTATAAAGAAGGCACTGAGAAATCTTGTTGACAGTATTACATAGTTGCAGTATGTTTTCTTTTGTGAACCATGGCAGGCATATATATATATTTTTTTATTCCTCGGTTGATAATTTCTGACCACTTAGGACATTCTCAACCTCTTTCCCAAAGTAAATACAAAACAGGAATTTAATACATTTAAATAGGATTTATCGGGGCGCCTGGGTGGCTCAGTCAGTTAAGCGACTGCCTTCGGCTCAGGTCATGATCCTGGAGTCCCGGGATCGAGTTCCGCATCGGGCTCCCTGCTCGGCGGGGAGTCTGCTTCTCCCTCTGACCCTCCTCCCTCTCATGCTCTCTGTCTCTCATTCTCTTTCTCTCAAATAAATAAATAAAATCTTTAAAAAAATAATAATAATAAAAAATAAATAGGATTTATCCAACCCATAGGACAATTATCTGTATTTGTGAAAAGTGAGCATATCATGATCAAATATGCCTCAGCCCAATTGTCAGCTTTTTTTGGGGGGAGGGGGGAAGGACCTCTCTGATAATCTGATAAAACCACGGATACTCTCCCCAGGGAAATGCACATTGAGAAATTTGTTGCATATCATGATAGGGATGAACAGATCCCCCAAAACCTATACATGAATCCCTTCCCCTGTTCTAGTTTATTTATGAAAGTATCCGTTCTTTTGACTGTTACCTAGAAAGCCACTTAGATTAACTGAAGATGACAACTATTGGAAAGACTCTTAAGTACCTAAAGGGGAAATATTTATCTAGTAGAAAGGATCCTCTGAAATATTAAGACTAAATTTTATCAGAAGTAGCAAAAGCAAAGATATCAAAGTTATTTATTTAATAAACTTCCTAACAAACCTCTTACAGCCCAAACCTACCCAACAAAAACTCTAAAGAATATCTAAAAATTTTAGAATAGTCTTATGAATGTTGACTTGTCATTATGTTAGAAAATAAAATGTGGGTTTTATTCAGATGATGTGATTCAAGGGTATTAACCTGTACTCCCTGGTCATCTGTGAGTATGTTCCCAGTTAGAATTATGCTTGGCTACCTGTGAAAGAAGTAGGAAACAACTGTAGCGTAAAAAAAGTTAAAGAACTCTATCTGCCACCTGAGAATTCTGGAGGTAGGTCATTCAGAGCTCACTGTCACATGAAGTTGTCATCAATCTAGTTCTTTTACAGTTCGCTGTTTCTGGAATGGGCTTGCCAGGGTCCCAGGTGGCAGCCCCCATATCCATGTTCCTGACAGTAGGATGAGAGAAGAAACAAAGATGACGACCATGGGCACATGTTTTTGTTTTTGTTTTGTTTTTAAGGTGCTTCCTACAAGTGAATACATAATACTTCTCCTTGCCTCTCACTGGTTATACGTAGTCACATTGTGTTACCTACCTGCACGAGAGGCTAGGAAGAGCCAATTTATCTTGGGCAGCGTATGCCCAGCTAAAAGTCAGCAACAGGATATTTTCAGACAGGCAGTTAGTGATCTGTATCACAGGCTTCCCACTTTGCCACGGCTGCTGGTATCATCCTGGGTGCTCTGTGTTGCTGCCACGGTCTTATGTAGCTGAGGCTTGCGACACGGACAAAGGGTAATGGATGCCGTCTACCTTGCGTACTCCTTTGGGTTAGGGAAACAAGTCCAAGTCATCACTTCTGTTGTCTGGGCGCCCTCCTCAGATGAGAAAAGCACTCAAGGGATCTGGACAAATGAACTGTTCCCGTGCGGTGTTTTTGTTTTGCATGTTTTACTGTTCAAATCAATTAAATTTGTATTTTTAATCTTACCCCAAGTCAGAATTTACCTTTGAACTTTGATATGTATGTTCATAATGAACAAGTTTAATATTAGTCCTTTATTTATGTAAATGCAATCATTAAGTGATCAAGATGTAAAGAAGCATTTCTTATAGGGTCCTGTCTCCCTGTGTGTTTCAGCTCAGTAGCACCTGCCTCTTGAAGATGTGTGTTGTGTAAGACTGATGAGTCACAGACCTGCACCCCTGAAACAAATAATACATTATATGCTAATTTAAAAAAAGACTGATGAGCCACAGACCTGCACCCCTGAAACAAATAATACATTATATGCTAATAAAAAAAGACTGATGAGTCACAGACCTTCACTCCTGAAACAAATAATACATTATATGTTAATTTTAAAAAAAGAGGGGCACCTGGGTGGCTCAGTCGTTAAGCGTCTGCCTTCGGCTCAGGTCATGATCCCAGGGTCACAGGATCGAGACCCGCATCGGGCTCCCTGCTCAGAGGAGAGCCTCCTTCTCCCTCTCCCACTCCCCCTGCTTGTGTTCCCTTTCTCGCTGTGTCTCTCTGTCAAATAAATAAAATCTTTTTTTTTTTAATTTTTTATTCTTATGTCAATCCCCATACATTACATCATTAGTTTTAGATGAAGTGTTCCATGATTCATTGTTTGTGCACAACACCCAGTGCTCCATGCAGAATGTGCCCTCCTCAATACCCACCACCAGGCTAACCCATCCTCCCACCCCCCTCCCCTCTAGAACCCTGTTTGTTTTTCAGAGTCCATCGTCTCTCATGGTTCGTCCACCCCTCCGATTTCGCCCGCCTCATTCTTCCCCTCCCGCTACCTTCTTCTTCTTCTTCTTCTTCTTTTTTTTTTTTTCTTAACATACATTGCATTATTTGTTTCAGAGGTACAGATCTGAGATTCAACAGTCCTGCACAATTCACAGCGCTTACCAGAGCACACACCCTCCCCAGTGTCCATCACCCAGTCACCCCATCCCTCCCACCCCACCCCCCACTCCAACAACCGTCAGTTTGATTCCTGCGATTAAGAAGTCCTCATATCAGTGAGATCATATGATACATGTCTTTCTCTTTTTGACTTATTTCACTCAACATAATACCCTCCAGTTCCATCCACGTCGTTGCAAATGGCAAGATCTCATTCCTTTTGATGGCTGCCATAATATTCCATTGTATATATATACCACATCTTCTTTATCCAGTCATCTGTCGATGGACATCTTGGCTCTTTCCACAGTTTGGCTATTGTGGACATTGCTGCTATAAACATCGGGGTGCACGTACCCCTTCGGATCCCTACTTTTGTATCTTTGGGGTAAATACCCAGTAGTGCAATTACTGGATCATATGGTAGCTCTATTTTCAACTTTTTGAGGAACCTCCATACAGTTTTCCAGAGTGGCTGCATCAGCTTGCATTCCCACCAACAGTGTAGGAGGGTTCCCCTTTCTCCGCATCCCCGCCAACATCTGTCATTTCCTGACTTGTTCATTTTAGCCATTCTGACTGGTGTGAGGTGGTATCTCATTGAGGTTTTGATTTGGATTTCGCTGATGCTGAGCGATATTGAGTACTTTTTCATGTGTCTATTGGCCATTTGGATGTCTTCTTTGGAAAAATGTCTGTTCATGTCTTCTGCCCATTTCTTGATTGGATTCTTTGTTCTTTGCGTGTTGAGTTTGATGAGTTCTTTATAGATTTTGGATACTAGCCCTTTATCTGATATGTCATTTGCAAATATCT